GATGGATGGATGGATGGATGGATGGATGGATGGATGGATGGATGGATGGAAAAATAAACAGACTGTCAGATGGATTGATGGAAAAATAAACAGACTGTCAGATGGATGGATGATGGAAAAATAAACAGACTGTCAGATGGATGGATGGACAGACAGATGGAAAAATAGACTGTTGTAAGGACAAACGGTTGGATGATGGATGGACAAACTAATAGACCGCCGGACAGACAGATGGACAGGATTATATTTACGAATTAGTCAAAGCAAATGAAGAGTTATAGTGGTCTTACCGGTGCCAATGATGCGCGGATCAGCGAAGTGTTTGGCGAGAATGGCTGCGAGCTGAGTGAGTGTTTCCTCATAACCTGAGAGGGACAAACATTACACAACAGCATGAGTCTGACACAAACTACTGCTCTAGAAAGATTAAGGTTCACAAACACTAGAAGCTGCTGTGACCAGTAATAATTGAGAGAGACCTGGAAGTTCTTCCATGCAGTTGGAGGGGCTGAAGTAGTTTTTGAGGGCACTGTAGCTGTTCATGGCCACGTTGAGGTAGAATTCGGGCATGAATGCGAACAGGGAGCCTGTGCTGTCCGAATGCTCGATGGTACGGATACACACCTTCAGGAGCCAGTACACGTCCAGCATCTTCTCCTGCATTCACACACATTATGAGAATAAAGCAGGATATACCCATGCTTCCATCTGAACTTTTGCTGAGATCCAGAAATTGCAAACAATGCCTTGAAATGCACTTCGTATTTTAGTTTTACACAACTAAAGCTCCATCTCTCTGAACCTTGGAATTAAACCTTTTGCTTCTGTATCTTTAGGGACTTTTATTTGCAAATGACCTCCGTTATGACCGGCTAACCTCTTTGCCTGTAAAGCACATCTATTATAAGTTGCTGAATACTAAATAGTCATTAACAATTTCTGAAAAATAATTAATTATTATCATTAATTACAAATCATTTATTATTATTTTATATTTCAGATTTTTTTTTTTCAGAAAAATGAATAAATATGACCCCTTTAAGCTGATTATCTATTATTTTTCATATTTCTGCAATATTTAAAAATTAGTAAAAAAATAAAATAAAATACATAAATAACTAAAACTGATTAACTGATATTGTTTTAATTATTGTTTTATATTTCTTTATATTTCTTATATTTCTAAATAAATATCACCTCTTTAAAGAATGATAATGATGAATTATCAAATTACCAAAATGATAATGACTAATCATTATTATTTTATATTTCTGGAAAACGCTATTTGTTCAGTCTAGTCAACAAATCAATCGATAAACAAATAAATATATATAAAAATATTTATAAATAAATATTATTCTTTTATATTTATACAAATTCTGTAGCCTACTACATAAATACATACATACATACATACATACATACATAATTATTGTTTTATATGTCTGCCATTTTTGCAGCTCTGTAAATAAAATAAATATCATATGACCCTTTTAAAATAGATTGATTTTATTGATTTATATTAATGCAATTTTGCAGCTTAATAAAAGAGCGAATGGTTACCATAAAACCCCTTTTAAGTTGATTTTAAAGATGCAGAAAGTTCTGTGATGAATGCATTGACATTTACGGCAAGTTTACATACTACTTCCTGTTCCTAAATGCCCTTTTGAAAAGCCATTTAAAGGCTGAATTTAAAGGGATAGTTCACCCAAAAATGTAAATTACCCCCTGATTTACTCACCCTCAAGCCATCCTAAGTGTATATGACTTTCTTCTTTCAGAGGAATACAATCAGAGTTGTATTAAAAAATGTCCTGGCTCCTCCAAGCTTTATAATGGCAGTGAATGGGTGTTGAGATTTTGAAGCCCAAAAAATTGTGCCTATCCATCATAAAAAGTGCTCCACAAGGCTCCGTGAATAAAGGCCTCCTGAAGCGAAGTGTTGCATTTGTGTAAGAAAAATATCCATATTTAAAACTTTATAAACCGTATCTCTTTATAAATCTCGAGCTTCCGCTGACTGTCATACGCGCGTTCACGAGAGAGCAGCGTTCCAGCGGATGACATAGGACGCAGGCGTAGCATAAGATCTGGTGAGAATATCCTAGTTTCACAAGAACCATATTTTGTTTACAGCAAAGAAAACCAGTCTCCTCTTGGCTTATATCGAAATCCTCTGACATTTTTCTATACAAATCCTCATTTTGCATTTCTAATTCATGACCGGTGTTTTGTTTTGCTCTCTCCTCTGCACTTCCGCGTTCGTCACTTCTCACCGGAGCTTACGCTGCGCCTACGTCATCCGCCGGAATGAACGCGCGTACGACAGTTAGCGGAAGCTAGAGATTATGGTTGATAAAGTTTTAAATATGGATATTTTTCTTACACAAATGCATCAATTCGCTTCAGAAGGCCTTTGTTAACCCCTAGGAGCCGTGTGGAGCACTTTTTGTGATGGATTGGCGCAGTTTATTGGACTTCTACTGGACTATTGAAAATCACCCATTCACAGCCATTACAAAGATTGGAATAGCCAGGACATTTTTTTATATAACTCTGATTGTATCTGAAAGAAGAAAGTCATATAGGATGGCTTGAAAGTGAGTAAATCATGGAGTGATTGTCATTTTTGGGTGAACTATCCCTTTAAATGTCTGGAGTTTAATGGGCACATCGCAAATGAAAAGCACACTGGGCTCTTCAAAGTAGAATTATATCACTTGCTCTAGATACAAAAATGACACTGCTTAAAATTAGTGAGACAGTTGGTTCACCCTATGTTTTTGGCCAGTGCCGTCAGCAGTACCTTGGAGTAGATGGTGGCGTTGATCCAGGCCAACCTACGACTCAGGTGGTTCAGCTTTTCAGCAAACACTTTTTGGCTCTTCTGCAACTCTTCTAAAATATCCAGCCTCTGACGAAAAAAAATAAATCATATAAATACTAACTAAATAGAGAGCCTAATTTATACAGAAAAGTGGCATGTTTGTGCTTAAAAGAATAAGAATGACTTATGATAATAATGAATTTAAATAGAGAATAACACTTTGATATGTTAGTCTTACTCTGCTCGGGCATCGGGCGATCTTCTCTTCCGTGTCCTTTAGGGCGACAGCGTACTCGTGAACATCATCCGATACAACCACCATCTGCAGAAAACATGCAAACAGAAATACAAAGACAGCATCAGACTCTGCTTCACTGTGAGCACGTACAGAAAATTGCTCCTGTTCTCATATGGCAACATAATCGCTAGCCATCCTGCTGGAGTTCAAAATAGCCACCAATTTTGGCCTTGTCCTGTGAGCAGAGACATGGTTTCAGAGGGAAATACTGAAGAGAACACAAGCTCTCCTGATAGAGCCGAACAGGTCACTTTACCACCAGAAACAGACAAAATGATGTTATGCAATCAAGTATATGCAACCATATATGCAAATACTTTGCCCCATTTCAGTCTTAATCATTATTGTGGCTGTAATAAACTCCAATACTCAAGGGGGCGATAGAGCTTCCTTCACATGTTGACTTCAGATGTTTAATTTGCCTCATTTTTCAACAAGATTTTCTTCAAACCCTATGTAGCTGACAACAGTTGACCTAAAACAGAAAACTGACATCAGAAGTAGTTGTTGTCTGCCGATGCTCATTAGCGCCCCTTGTGGCAATCGCAAGAATGCAAATAGATGTATTGTATTGTGTTGTTTTTTTTTTGTTTTTTTAATTGAGTTTGTGTTGCTAGAAGCATTTGCATTTATATTTCATAGGAGTTTTAGGAGTTTTTATACATTATTGTAGTTTTTATTAATATTTTGAATTAGTTTTTGAAATATATTTTAAGTATTTATTTTAAATTTAGTAATATTATGTGCTTTAGTCATTTTTATTATTATTTTTTTTTAACAGTTCTCTTCCACTTTAATTTATTTGCAAATAGTGCTGTCAAAATTAACGCATGCAGTTTTCAGTTTTTCAACACGTTAAAAATATTTAACGCAGGGGCGGAGCTAGTGTTGGCCACCCCACTCACAACTGCTGCTTCTGTCTCTTTTTTCTCAACAAGAATTGCATTTATTTAGACACAGAACGTCTTTACGATCACATCAAATGGGAGACTTTTTAGACGCGCACTCCAACTTCGCCTCAGCATCCTGCGCTAGTCAAACAAACACGGAATAGCTACAGGTGACGAGGAGCTTCAGTAGAACAACAGTGAATTGCAGTCAGATGAGATGTCGTCAGGCCATATGTCAGTAAAAACAAATGTTCTTTATACTGTGCTCGTAGCACGTGCTTTTCAATTGCATGCACAAACGCAGCGGCACGCTGTATATTATTTCATTAAAGTGCAAAAGAATCTACAAACATGCAATGTCTTATTTTTATCGTCAGGTAAGTCAAGACGTTACCAAAAAAGGCAATTAACTCTACCTTAAAACTGTGCATGTATGTAAGTATGTGTTATGAGTCACATTTAAGAACATGTCTCTGAAATACAGTGTTTTTCAGAAACTATCCTGGAGCAGCCCAGCACTGTCTCCCTCATCTAACACACCCGATTCAGCTCGTCAGCTCATTAACAAACTTTAAGACCTGAAGTGGGTCAGAAAAGGTAAAGAGTAGTGAGAAAATATAATGTGTGTCAGATCCGCATCATGTTCAGCAGCAGCAGCTCTTAAAGCAGCCAAAATAACCTAATAACCAGCTGCTGTGATGTCTGTTCATCAAAGAACAAAAGAAAAAAAAAGAGAAAATCAATAACTTTTGTAGCTTTAAGGATTCATCTATATTTAATTTAGAATTTAATGTTTGATAACTTTATTCAATTTCTGTATATTTCCTACTTGCTGATGGGCACGGGTAGCTAAATATTTTATATTTATTTTGATGGGTTTATGGGAAGATTGTTTTAAGTTCACTTAAATTAGAAGTTGTTGTTTTTTAAAGTCTAATACATGTTCAAATTGATAGCTCTCATTTATACTGTAATACTGAATGGCTATAATCAATGGTTAAATATTAGGAAAAAAAATTCTTAGAGACATCAGTAGTATTGGTATCAGTGATACTCGCCTTCAGTCATAAAAAAGATGCCATTAAACAAATATTAAAAATATACTGTATGTTTTTTCTACATTAATTTGAAGATTGAATGTGAAATTATTGCAATTTAAAAGTATATTTGAAAACTTTAGAGTTAGGTGGGATTAATTTCAGTTTTTTTATTTAATCGATTGACAGCACTATTTTTAAGTTTTAGTTTTAGCTATTTAAATTTAACGATTGAGGTGAGACCCTTGAGCAAGTCACCGAACCCCAACTGCTCCGGGGGTGTGTTCACAGTGTGTGTGTGTGTTTGTTCACTACTCACTGCTGTGTGTTTGCCCTTGGATGGGTTAAATGCAGAGCACAAATTATGAGTATGGGACACCATACTTGGCCACAGGTCACGCCACTCACTCACTCAATTACCAAACAAGATTTTTAATAGTTCTAGTTTCACTGGTTCATTTAGTCTCACAGTGCCAGATTTTTGACTATCAGCATGAAGTCTGGTCCATTTTGTAGCTTGTTCTAGTCAAGAACTGCCCATTTTGACAATAAAATGATGTATGACTGATACGCAAATCAAATAATAACAGTTAAAAGTATTAATCTTACGTTATTGTGCTTAAATATCCCATTTACTGGCTAATATCAGTCTGAATTCTTAAATGAATTCTTGACTAAAGACGTACACAAACTTTATCAAATTCAGCATCTAGATCTTCTTTTGTAAACCTGATTTTGTTGCTCAGAAAACTGATTAAAGTCAGTTCGTGCTAAACAATAGCACTCCTTGTGGCAATGAGCAACGCACATTTGTGTTGTGGTGAATTGAGCTTGAAGATTTTAAGTTCACAGACTTACGTAGAGTATGTTTCGGGCTTTGGATGAAAGCTGCCAGCTTTGAGAAAAAAAATCAGTATGCAGCTCATTTCCATTTGAGAAACCGCTTTAGGCAGTTCCCAAAATACGAGGCTCAGTTTATGGTCATGCAGTTCTCTCAAACTCTGAGGAAATAAAAAATGCATTACAGCTTGATGACATGATGAGGTGTTGTGGTGACACTTCATGCTGTGGCTGAATTATTCGGCATATCAGTAATAAAGACAAGACTCCTGATGCCACTGTGCCAAGCCAATTAACAAAGCCATTATCAAGTCTATGTAAGTCAAATTAGTTTTGCTTGACAGGCTACAGCATAAATCTCATTAGGATCCAACAGTGTAGGAGAGAAATCACAGCATGAACTGAGCCACTTTCAATTCACTTCCAAAGCCACAGTACGTCACCAAAGGATCACTTCACTATCAACAACTACTTCCTCTTACCATGCCATCCCTGTCAATTTTTATTAAATTTGACTTGGATGGCACTTTTCACAAATGGATATTGTTCTAAAGCAGAAACAAAGAAAAGCGTCTTCACAAACCCCATTGGTGCAGTGATTCACTTCAGCAGTGGCATTGCAAAACTCCCTGGAGGAAGACACCTTGGGATTAATTACTATAGGAAACTGTAGTGCAAACCAAGGCAGAATTTTCTTCTTGCTGGTGCAGCCTAGCGTTTAAAGATTTTGGCAGGTGACCAACAGGTTGCAGGTTCAAATCCCACAAGGGGTGAGAATGATACTTTACCCTTGATACTGATCATGTAAATCACTTTGGAAAAACATTCGCTAAATGACTAATTAACAGGGTCCAGAATGAACACTCGGACAAGGACCACATGAGAATAAATCTTGGCTTTGACAAAGAAATAAAATGTTGTTACTCACCACTTGACTGGTAACATTTTTAGGAACTGAAACATTATACATTATTAAATCATAAAAATAACCGTCAGACCCTCAATGCAAGTGGTGTGTATGATTAAAATTATATATGTGTGAATAAAAGCATATTAAAAATGCAACCATCTGTTAAAGAAAACAATGTGTTACAATTAACTTGTGTGGAAATTAGGTAAAAAATGTACCTAGGAGTCATTTTATTTCTCCAGAACTGCATACGGCAATATACAGGTATAATTTACGTTTCATTAATTAGAAATGTATATTTTTTATTTTATTTTTATGCTTTGTTTTGATTTTTATACTTTTTCCCCCTATTTTTTCCTGTATTATTTGCTTTGTTCTGTTTTTTGCAGGTTCAAATCCCACAAGGGGTGAGAATGATACTTTACCCTTGATACTGATCATGTAAATCACTTTGGAAAAACATTCGCTAAATGACTAATTAACAGGGTCCAGAATGAACACTCGGACAAGGACCACATGAGAATAAATCTTGGCTTTGACAAAGAAATAAAATGTTGTTACTCACCACTTGACTGGTAACATTTTTAGGAACTGAAACATTATACATTATTAAATCATAAAAATAACCGTCAGACCCTCAATGCAAGTGGTGTGTATGATTAAAATTATATATGTGTGAATAAAAGCATATTAAAAATGCAACCATCTGTTAAAGAAAACAATGTGTTACAATTAACTTGTGTGGAAATTAGGTAAAAAATGTACCTAGGAGTCATTTTATTTCTCCAGAACTGCATACGGCAATATACAGGTATAATTTACGTTTCATTAATTAGAAATGTATATTTTTTATTTTATTTTTATGCTTTGTTTTGATTTTTATACTTTTTCCCCCTATTTTTTCCTGTATTATTTGCTTTGTTCTGTTTTTTTTGTTTGTTTTGTTCTGTTTTTTATTTTATTTTATGCTTTGTTCTGTTTTGTTTTTATGATTTGTTATTTTTTATGACTTTATTTTATTTTTTATTTATGACTATTATTTTTTCTTTGTTTTTTATGCTTCATTCTATTTCATTTAGTTTTTTTATGCTTTGATTTTTTTTCTTTGTTCCGTTTTGTTTTGCTTGTTATGCTTTGTTCTGTTTTAGTTTTTATGCCTCAAGTTTTTATGTTCTGTTCCTTTTTTTATTATTTTATTTTATTTTAGTGTGTGTGTGTGTGTGTGTGTGTGTGTGTGTTTTGATTTTTTTTTTAGCAACTGATTATTTTGATATGCTTAACTAAAATACTCATTACAGCATAATAATCTTTTATAAGTCTGTTTATAAAGATTTATTATGGATAATT